AACTATGGGTACTTTAATGACCTTGGGAGTGGTACTGTCCTTCTCAGCAGGATATTAAAGCCAAAAACTTAAATAAATTGATACAGTTGGACCTTATAAATGTTTTAAATTATTTAACAAAAATTATAACAAACAGGGTTGAAAGAAAAGTGAAAAACTAGGGGGAAAATGCTTACAACATATGACGCAGGCTTAATATACAGAGGACTTTTATAACTAAGTAAGAAAGATGAGTGTCACTAAAAAAATAAGCAAAGACCATGGGCAGGCAAATCATTTTTTTTAAAAAAGAAGCCAACCAAGAAACATGAAAAAATATTCAGTATCACCAGCAATTTTTTATAAATGCAAATAAACCAAGATACCATTTTTTAACTTTCAGATAGTTGAAAATTCCCAGTGTGGGTGAGAGACAGGGGAGGGGCGGAGTAGACATTCTCCTTGACGGGAGTGTGAATTGGGAGACACTTACTGCAGAGCATTTGTATGCGTACGTTTGAACCTAGTAGTTCCGTGTGTACGACTGTGTTGTGAGAGGATAATTAGACTGGATAAATACATGTACAAAGATGATCAGTACAACACTGCAGGTTACTTTTTCCTCAACTTTTTATTTTGAAGACCTTTAAACCTACAGAAAAATTAGAGTAATAATACACTGAACACTCATACACTTTTCATGTGGGCTCATCAGTTATTAACGTTTGCAACCCTGGAATTTAAAACCTAGTCAATAACCATCTTTAGCTTATTGGCTAAATAAATTATGCAATTTGAATATTCAACTGTAATGCTTCATTTTTTTAGATGAAAAGATGTCTACAACATAAAAGTGAGTGAAAAATCAGCAAATTACAAACCAACAGTTTTTTCAAATGGAATACACATACACACACATAGTAGATGCTTACAGGAATATTCACTGGGGTGTTAGTAGTTTTCTACAAATACAGGGGTTTTGGATGATATTTACTTCTTAATACTTCTGTTTTGTTTTAAATCTTTACAATTAACAGATTTTATAATCAGAAAAATCAAAGCTGTTTTTCACTGGAGGAAAAAAATGTGCCCTATGGTGGATACTAGATAACTATTCACAACTGCTAATAGATTAACATGTTCTCTTTCAGATTAGACACCCCAGTGCTTTGGGATTAGAAGTTGGCCAAGAAATTCAGGTACCTGTGCTCAGCCTTTTAGCCGTAACGTTGTAAACTGTACTTGAAGTCTTTATTACTATTTTCAAATTTTTATTACTGTTTTCAGAAAGTAAAATGAAACAACAGAATTAACATCTATGGTGTGTATTTGTGTGTGGTGCTTCTTTTTTAACCTTAAGGTTGCTTAAACAGAATCATTCATGATTTAAGATGCAGTTATTTTCCTCAAGGACCTTGCTGTTTGGTTACAATAGTCAACTTTAGAGCTCTTAAAAATACATGAGCAGGCCAGGGACGGTTCTATAGACACAGTGATTGGAGACAGGACGTGAGAATCCTGATAAGGTAACTTTGCTGAAGGCCTTGCGTGTCATATTTGAGGAGTTGAGACTTTAATTGCTTTTCTCCAACTTGAGACTAAAAGTTTCTGAGCTTGATAAAAGCCATGTTGTTCCGTAGAATTCTGGTAACAATTGACCTTTTTTTGTAGTCCTTTATGAGTGGATGAAAGAAGTCATTACCAGTCTGGTGTTTTGCTGCACCACATTCTGTTCTAGTTATACCTAATACCCATGACCTCAAGTTTATTCCCACTCTGTAGTCTCATTGTTCAAGGAGCCTGCAGGGAGAGAGGGGAACTGAGACATGATATCTCTGTATGGTTGTTTGGTCGGGTGGTTTGTTTTGTTTTTGATATCAGAACCTTTTTAGTTCTTTTTTAATATCAGGGACTTAAAAACTGCTGCAAGGTCAAGCCAGAGGAACTCCAGTGTGATGGTCCTTTGAGGCAGTAGTGAAAACTGGAGTGACCTAAGCATAATCCTATTTAGTTCATAGCATAGTTAGTCCTTCTTGTCTAAAATCATTCACCAAGGCTTGTTTGTTTTCCCAGGTTAGGAACACTGATTCCCACAGCCTCACCCCTGTATTTTCTTC